TTATCTGTTATTTTCTTAAATGTATTTTTATTTTTTTTACTAAATTCATGGCTGCCCATTTAAACAATGTGGTGAGACGGTATACAAAAAAAATGTAACTCAAAAAAGAACCACATAATGTTAAAACATATGCAATATATAAACATGTATGCGAGATGTAGAATTTAAAATGGTGATCAGCACCATAATTTAAAAAAAAAGAACAATCATAAGGGAACTCCACTCAACTAGCCACAAACAATTCAGGAAAACTAAGTCTTATATGTAGAGTTGTGGACTATTATGCAGAGATTGTTCCACAGAACAGGGGCAGCCATTCAAAAGGCCCACTTCTTAGGTCCCATAAGTGGCAAGATCTAAAAAAAGGAGACCAGGAACATTCCTTCCTTGTGAGAACTAATGGGGCAAATGTTCTTGGGCTAAGGTAGTCCCAAGCAACCGAGTCCTATTTTCTGTAGGACTCGGTTAAAGGTGATAATCAGCACCTTGAATTGCAACCAAAGCCTACTAAAAATTAGTGCACCTTGTGGAGTAGCAATGTTGCACAAGCATAACATAATTACCTATGCTGCTGCATTCTGGACCAATTGATGCTTCCAGATGGTCTTCAGGGGCAGCCACACATGTTGCAGAGTCCAAATGGGAAGTGACTAAGGCAGTGGTTCTCAACCTTTTTAATGCCGCGACCCCAACCGGTCGTAAGTCGAGGACTAAACCGGTCATAAGTCGAGGACTAAACCGGTCATAAGTCAAGGACTACCCAACCGTTCGTAAGTCGAGGACTTTCCCTGCCCGGGAGCGCCGTGCATGCGTGGTTCCGCCCCCTGCGCTGGCCGAGGCGTAGCTGGCAAGCGGCAGAGACGGAGCAGGCCGACCACCAGCTGGCCCAGCCCAAGGGAGGTAAGGCACCCGCCGGAAAAGGGGGAAAAAATGGCGGACAAAAAAAATGGACAAAAAAATGGTGGACAGCCTTGCTTGGCGACCCCCGTGAAATGGTCGATCGACCCCAAATGGGGTCCCGACCCACAGGTTGAGAACCACTGGACTAAGGCATGAGTCTTGACCATGATTAGGGCTTCACATCCCAGAAATCAGCACAACTGGGGAACAAATTGCAGCTATGGAAAGCCCCCCCCCCCCGGCCACTTCTGCCACCTGTTCTTTGAGTCCAAGAAAAAAAACACAGACTGTGTACTTCAGGTCTGAATGGCATGGATCCATTCATCAAGGACCAAATATAAAAATACCATTTGGAACTTTCTTTGCCAGCTTCCGACGAAGTCAATGGGGAAGCTGGCAGGAAATTGCAAATGGTGATCATGTGAGATCTTTGCTTAATGAGCTATGGTGCTTTGCTTAATAATGGTAACTGGGAGTGCCAGAATTGTCATTGTTAAGTGGCAGGGTCACAGGATGTTCCCCTTTATGACCACATTGCTTAGCAACAATAATTCCAGTCCTAATTGCCATTGTCAACTAAGGACTACCCTTATTGGGCTAGAACAGTGGTTCTCAACCTTTTTAATGCCGCGACCCCAACCGGTCGTAAGTCGAGGACTAAACCAGTCGTAAGTTGAGGACTAAACCGGTCGTAAGTCGAGGACTTTCCCTGCCCGGGAGCGCCGCACATGCGTGGTTCCGCCCCCTGCGCCGGCCAAGGTGTATCTGGCAAGCGGCAGAGACGGAGCAGGCGACCACCAGCTAGCCCAGCCCAAGGGAGGTAAGGCACCCGCCGGAAAAGGGGAAAAAAATGGCGGACAGCCTTGCTTGGTGACCCCCATGAAATGGTCGATCGACCCCAAATGGGGTCCCGACCCACAGGTTGAGAACCACTGGGCTAGAATGATAGAAAAGTTTAGGTTCTGAGGTTTCTAGAAGTAAATCAAAGCATGGCTAGACTCGAAATGTTTTATCTACCAAAGAATTAGCCTTTAATGTGCTATTCTCAAAGTACATCTTAGGAATAAGAAATCTGCTTAAACTTCTGCTTGTTGTGACATGGCCACAAACTGTAACATTCAATCCTTTTAAATAGAAGGCAATTCTCTAGTATTACCAGGAGCATCATACTCTTCAGAAAACACAAATCTTCCAAGGTTTCTTAGTGCTGAGCACTATGAAGCAGTACTGTACCGAATGCACAATACTTTAACTGTTTTGCCATTCCCCCCAAAAAAGTGTATTTATCACAGCAGAATCCAAAGAAAACTGGCTCTTCAGCAACCAAGATAATACCATACTGAAAACAATTTCACTTCAATGGCTTCTTGAAAGGATTTCACAAATGCTACAAGTATTTCACCCATTCCAAATTCCTGAGGATTCTTCTTTTTAATAGACATTATTAAACATAGTGAATGTCAGCCTGCTTCATTTTAAGAAAGAGATTCCATGGTAGAATTTCCAGTCAATGAAGCCTCAAGTGAATTGGTGTAGACTTTAGTTAAAATATTGTTAATATTCCTATTTTTATACCAAAAAAGATCTCCATTTTTTAACATGGAGTCCCTGCGGATTTTATTCTGCTAGTCATTGGTGATTATACGGGATGGTGCTCATCTCTGTTTCAAGGTCATTGAGCCAGCGCTGTCTGAAGACATTTCCATGGTCATGTGACATCACAAAGTGCTGTTACCTTCCCACCAAAGTGGTACCTATTAATCTACTCGCATTTGCATGTTTTTGAACTGCTAGGTGAGCTCATCCCGTCGCATGGCACTCAGGTCTCAAACCTGAGCTGCTGGCTTTCCAGCAGACAAGCCCAGCATCTTAACTGCTGAGCCACAGTGCCACCTATTTTTTTTAAAATGACTGTTATAAATTGAAAAGTGGCAAACTGCACTTGCTTGTTTGTTTGGGTTTTTTTTGTTTCAGCTTATTCTGAAATACACAAAATGAAACTGATTTATACTTCTGTAAACAACTCTGCATTTTTCATACCGTATACAACTACAATAATCAGCTTCTTATTATTTCCCCAACAATCAGATTCAGCCAGAAGGGAAGCAACATTGCCTATAATAGCAAAACCAAGACAATACTCTGGAAACACACTCAGTTGACCAGCAAGAGTCAACTATATGTGAAAAACTGCCAAAACATCATGCTGTAACAGCTTAAGATTGATACGCTACATCAGTGAACTGGAAAAACAGAGTGTGCAACAAAAGATCCAATATTAACACCAGCCACTCAACTACAGCACAGAAGACTACAACGGAAGTGCCAACACTAATCCTACCCAGGGAGTCTTCAAAATGGAACCTTTCTTATTGCTTTTGAGAATGTAAAAAAATGGCAGCAATCTTTTTTCAAATTTTTACCTTAACCTTTTTCAAAGTTCATTGAAACAAACTAAGCATCAGTAATTGAAAATTTTTAGCCTCCTTAATATAAGATGGATTTAAACAAAACCACACCACAGCAGTGTATAATTTTGTAATTATCTAAAATCATTCAATAATATCATACAAATATAAATATTACGTGGCTGTTGGATTCAAAACAAACACTCAATAATTCAGATTTATTTTCCTACATACTCCATCAAAGGATAATGGAAAGTCCACAGGCATCATTATGAGAACTTTCTAATGGGTCCTAACAAGCAACTCTTATATACAGGCATATGACTTCAAATGTTGGAAACAATATATAACAATCACGACTGGTAATCACTGATAACTCTACATTCGTGGAAGATAATATTATGGTCTACAACAGCAGGACTGTTGGTGTTGAGTATGGTGCCTTGAACTGCTGGATGAAAATCAAGGTGTAAGTCTAATCAATAAATAATAAATTTTAAAATTATGAACAATCTAATTTAATTTGAAATTCAATTTAACTAACAATAGATAAAATCTCAACAGAGTTCAGGATATCCCATATACATGGGATATACATTATCCCAGTAAAATTATATTCAACTCCACAGAAACATAGCATTTTCTGAAGTAGATTTAGCCTGTATTTATGCCACAGTGCAAATATTCCAGTACTGAAAAAGTAGCTCTTATAAATGGCTTAATAAAGTGAAAATTAAAACTATTATATTTGCCATGCTTAAATTTTAACAAACTTGTGGCACTTTAAAAAAAAAACAAAACCTCAGACCCATTTTCCAAGCTTTCAGTCCCCTATAGATTACTTCAAAGATACACCACACATCTTTGTTAGAGATATAAACCAATCCTGAACACAAAGTCCAATTCTCATGGTGGTGGTAAAATGTGCGCCAGGGTTTTACCATCTCAGACTGCAGTTGAGGCCTCACATGACTGAATGGTAAATGTCACAAAGAACAATCCTGAACCTACTTGCAAATATGTCATTTCTCTAAATGTAGAACTAATCCTTTCAGCATATAACCTCCAAGTTCATATTTTAAAGCTGAGACACAGTATTTTTCAAACTAAAAAGAGCAGTGTTTGTTTATATATGACTATGTTAGCAAAATATAATAAACCTGAATTATATGGAGCAAAAGAAAACTTTCTATATTTATCTATTTTAAACCTGATGACCAAAGATCAAGCAAACAAAGTAGGTAGAAAGAGATTAAAATAGATCCATCTGATAAAGTGGACATGATGCATGAAAGCATATGTGAAAATAAATGTGTTAAGTCTCTAAAAAGCCACAAGGCTCTTTATGTTGTCTTTGCTACAATGGAGTTTGCACAGATATCTCTCTAGTAACTTCTCAAAATGTTTATAATCAAACATTTTGTGTTTTCTGAGCAGTAATTTTTAAAATCATACTTTAAATTAACAGCGTTTATATATTATTGCCTTTAGGTTTTTAAAAACTATTGAATTGTATCCTAATAAATTTGTTTTGCTAAAATATTCTCAATGTGAATAAATAACATACCAATCATTTTAAACTGCCCTCTAGCAAGCAAAACCATCTGGATTAAAAATAATGCAAGCATCTTTTTTAACAGACAGGAACCAAAAACAGCAAAGACCTTGAAAATTAAAATATATAAAATTTACCAAAGTTCACTTTCACAGCATTTAATAAACATGTATAGATCTGAGGGTAGCATAAAATAAACCAAGTAAGATAAATTCTGGAACAGAGTGACAATCTATTTTAATTTTAAATTCTCTCTTAATTTCAGGAGGATATAAGCAGCATAGCAAATACATTGGACAAAATTTTCATTTGTGATGTGGGAAAATTCACAAATTGTAAAGTAATGCATTTATTTAAGTTTTTTAAATGATGAAACCTGTTTAAGCAATACATTTGCATATTTTCAGTCACCAATCTAATTTAAAACCAACTGTGCTTTAGCTGTCAAAACCACTCTGTTCCAAAGCACTCAATTACAATACATATTAATCCAGTGAATCACAGCATTAATATATGCAATGGTTTTAGTTCAGCACTGTCATAGCATGACAGCTAAAGCAAGCAAAGCATTCCTTAAAGGACAAAAGGCATTTTTTGCTGAATCAAGAATTGTTATTTCGGTAGTATCAGAATACAAAATAAAAAAGGAAAGCTTTTTTTGGAATCGCTACTGGGCCACTGAAAAGCTCTTCAGCTGTCTAATTTCTGACTGTTTAAAATAAAAATGAACATTTATTCATGCACATATGGCTTCATGTCTCAATATAGGAAAACAAGTTATAAATATGTATTCCTATAAAAGATAAAAAAGAAACATTTTATAAACAATCTAAATGGCTTTTTGGTTAGTACTTGGTATAAAAAAACAAAATGTGAGGGAAGTGACACAAGTAACTTTTTTTCTTTAAAACATATATCTATCATGACGGGTAGACCAAGCAAGCAGGGAACTACTAAATCCTGAAATTCGTACAAATGTGATATAAATAAATAATTTCCTTTTACAGAGTTCATGCAGATCGTGCCATGGTGACAGGATCATATCCAACCAAAACATGATGGAAAAATCCATTGGGTGAGGCATAAAGTACTGAGATCACAAATTAAGAGTATACTATGTGCTATTGCAGTGGAAATGCAGACTTCAATCACCTGCCAAGACCAAAGTCCAAAATATATTGTTTCCCATACCTCAGCTAGTCACTAAATAAAAAAAAATAAAAATCAAGAAATGAGTTCAGCTGTTTTTTATTTGCAAGTAAAAGCAGATGGATGAAATGCTATTTTTTCTATAAAAGGTGCAGGAATAGTATATAGCTTAATTTTATAAACATAGACTTTTCTAAAATAAAATGTTTTGAAAAAAAATGTAACCATGCAGCATTCATCTTGAAGTAATGTTGCAAGGTAGGCAGTAATCTTATATATTTCCAAACACCCTCATAGATATCCATAACGAACCATGATGACTTCAAAAGGACAAGTGTTGCATGATACATAATTAGACAAGTCACTAAGTTATTCACTATTCTGATGTGATAGGTACAGTATGTTAAATCATAGCATTTGTATAATGACATCATTACAGTATACACTTGTCATCATCCCCCCCCTAAATATATTATTTTGCTTCAATAAACTACATGCCACCGAATTCAGTGGGACTTCTATATAAACTGAAACTCAAAGGATGACACTATTAAGCTAAAGTTACAGTACTGAAAAAGTTTTGGCAAGTCAACTTCCAAGCATACAGACATGGGTAACATGCTCCTGGAAGACAAAAATTACCAGCTTCCAACCTTCAAACTGGAAAAATGTTTAGGGACCTCCTTCAAAAATACTGGTCAATCAAAAACAGTTAAATCCTTATGGGTGCCAATGTTGGGGGACAACCCCTTTTCCCCCAAAGTAAAATTTATCACTGGAAAATATCACAAAATTAGTCACTTTGATGTATGTTATATTAATAGATTTAATTTGCATTCATTATATTGCTTTAAAAATATTAAAGATACATTCAAACTAAAGCTTTCCACATCACATCCCTTAGCTAGCCTTATAATACAACAGGTCTGCAAGGGAACTTGTTGAAAAATCAAGCACTCCAGTCTGAATTACAATATATTATGCTGTGACTTAGAAACCACTAGAGCACAAGAGCTTTGCTCCCATTACTCACCAGACAACACCAAAGGCTCCATATCCAATAGGCCTGTCTGGTTCAATATCCAGTTGTTGTTGTGAATGATGAGTATGCTGATGATGGTGCGCTTTAACTGCAGCAGCTGCTGCAGCTTGTACCTGAGCTGGGGCGGCTGCTGCCGGTCCAGGTGCTTGACCTGGTGCCGGGGATGGAAAATATGGCTGCTGCTGCCCCGGATTTAACATGGCGGCAGCAGCTGCTGCTGCTGCAGCTGCCGCCGCTGAAGAACTATGTTGCTGTACAGGATGTACTGCGGCTGCAGAACCGGGGTGCAAATGGTGTTGAGAATGGTGATGGTGATGGAGATGAGGAGGGGGAAGGTGAGGAAGGTGATGGTGGTGATGGTGGTGGTGACCTGCTGCTGCTGCAGATGTACCGCCATTGTAAGCCGCCATCATTTTTGCGCTGACTGTAGCACTACAAAGAGACATTCAAGATGATGCCCTCTGATTGGATAACAACTGGGTCAAGCTGTCATTTGGCCACAAAAATGAAGTTTACTACACTTTCATAAACAAGTTGCCCACCTTCAAAAACATGGAGCTCAACAGGCCTTTATGTCTTCATCAATTGAGAAAATGGAGGCTTGTATATGTGCGTATGAGCATGCAATAAACCCCCTTCCCCCAAGATGGCTGGTGCAGTTGGTACTAAAATGCCATACCTCCTCCACTTCTTCTGGGCCAGTCTTGAAATTTCAACTCAATCCCCCTCCCCTCCAAAAAAAGGATGCAAGTTCACCCCCCTAAAAAATGTTAGGAGTACTGACAAACCCACCCCTTCCATTCCCACATCCTTTTCATTTATCTTGTCAAAACATGTAGGATGCTGAAGGCCTTCTACAGCTTTCCTCCTTTCTGCTCTGGATATACATCCATCTACTTTTTATATTAAATTTGGAAATACATGAACAACTTCCACAGGACTGAACAGGTCAAAGGACATCAAGTAAGCGGAAATGAAAGTTTCCAAAAGTAATAAGGGAAAGAAAATTAGGAAAGAATGGAAGAATGAGACTGACAAAAATGAAGGGGGGGGGGGAAACAGAACAAAGGAAATAAACTGAAGATTTAAAATTTGGAAGTGAAATAAGGCTATTTAAATTATCAGTAAAGAACAAGGTTGCAAAAAATTGATCGAGAAGATTAAGGGAGAAGCTAGTGGCAGAAAATAGAACAATGAAAGAACAAGAGAGAAAACAAGACTGCAAAAAGGAATGTGAAGCAATCAGGTAAAAGTATGATTTTTTTTAAAAAAAGTTTTTGTAAAGAATAAAGAACATATAGGAAAAAGAAGGAAACTATAGAAAAACAAGGAAAATGGATTTGAAATGAATGGATTTTAAATATTTAAAAGTAATAGAATGAAGTGGCAAGAAAAGAGGCCAAATTCTACAAGACAAACACCTTGCAAAAGTGAGAGGAAAGAAATATAAGTAAAAACTGTTAAGCAGTTGAAAAAAAAATATGGAAAATATCAAAAGAAAAAACGGGGAAACAGAACACTTTAGAAAGGAGAGAACATTAAAGGGTGCAAAAATGTAAGAGGAAATAATTTCTTGCTTTAAGAAAAAAAAAGTATGGGAAGCAAAAGCATAGATACAGACAGTGTACTAAACAAAGATGAACAGCATACTTAATGGCTGAAAAGACCAAACTTTTTTTAAAAGCAAAGGGAAAGCCTGCCGTGTGGCTGTGTGTAAAAACAGGCAACAAATATCAAAATGGGAAACAGAAGTGGAGGAAAAGGAAAAACGCGGTCTTGAAGTAAAGGTGAAGAAGGCTGATAAGAAAAAAAAAGGCAAGGGGGAGTTGAAATTGTCTGAAAAAAAATCTAGAGGAGGGTTTGAAGGGCAGGAGATCCTCTTGTACGTTAAAAGGCTGGAAGGGTAGCATGAAAGCTGGAAAAGAGAATGAATGGAAAGCGAAGAAGGTAGCAAAGAGAGAAGAGAAGAAACTGACAGCGCTAGGGAAAAAAAAACAGGTGACAGAAAGGAAGGAATGGGATGGACGAGACAAGAGAAAGGGGTGACAGAAAAGCCAGCAGAAAGAGGAAGCACCCAGGGACGCTCCTGAGACTCCTCAGCCCAGTCGCCCAGTCCCTCCCCCGAGCCTTCCTCTAGACCCGTCTCCTTGGCTAGGTGGGCGCTCTTGCCTGACAGCCTGACCCAGTGCTTGTAGAGAGGAGAAAAAGGCGAGGCGAGCGCGGGGATGGAGGGGAGGGGAGGGGAGGGGGGGCCGCGAGAGAGGTGGTCGGTGGAAGTAGCAGCGCGTTGCCTTCGTCACCGGTGGCGTCTACAGACCCCCCCCACGGCGGAGAAGCCACAGGCGGGATGAGGATGGAGATGGAGGAGGAAAGGAAAGGGCGGGGGGATGCGGGCGGGGGGAGCGCCTCAGCTGGGTCCCTCCTGAGGGGGGCGCGGGAGGGATGAGGAGAGAGGCAGGCGGGCGGGCGAGCGGGGGGTCACTCAGGGCCCACAGCGCCGCCCCACGTAGTCGCAGACGGCGCCCCCCCCACGCCTCCTCCACTGGCAGCCGTGGCCGCCTCCTCGTCTTCCTCCGTCGTCCCCTCGGGCCGCCGGGACCGGCCGCCGCGACTCCTCGTCGCCGCCACCTCCTTCTCCTCACGGGAGCCCCAGAGCGGAGCGTAGAGCGAAAGAGCGGCGGGGGCGCGCATGCGCGCGCCCCGCCGCCCTTCGCTTAACTCCCCCCCCCTCCCTCGCGTTTCCCATCACTCGGCCGGCGCGCGCGGCATTCGCGCTTGGGGCGCGCGCGCGCATCCTCCCCCCACCTCTGTCCTTCCAACCAATAGGAAACATCGCTTGGAAGGCTGCGCCGGAGCCGTCTCGTCCAATCCCAAAGAAGCGGTTCAACCCATACAGCGGGACTCGCCTTCGACGGCTCTCAGTGCTCGAAAAGGATCAAAGGCGAGGGGTGGGGGAAAGAGCCTCCGCCTCCCGGCCAATGAAACACGTCCTTCTCCGTTCTCGGTCCCACCCTCCACGTTCTTTTTGCCAACGAGACCCCGCGAGACTCTCTCACCTCACGCAACCCTCACCTAGATTTTTAGTTCGCGGAATGCAAAAGGAGGAAGTGGGCGGGCCGCTGAAGATTGATGGGTTGGTCCCGCCTCGATTTGAAGGTTTATAACCAATCAGAATATGGGGACTCTGTGACCGAGACCAATAGGAGCTCGGAAATGTTTTATTTTATTTTAATATCTCGGGCACGAAAGGTCGAGCCCCTGCCACGGGCTTCATTTTAAAGGGACCAAGAATTAAATACTTAATAAGGGAGCGTCTCTACGTGACTCTGAGTCTAGCCAATCGCAGGAATAAGAGGCGGGGTCAGCCGAGGACATTGCCACCATGGTGGGAAAAGCGGAGCCGGGATTCCTTTGCCGGTTTCGCTTGCGCATTGGCGGTTGACGAGGAGGGGCGTGGCTGAGCGGGAGCTGTGAAGACAGGCTCGGCAAGGAGGAGGATCTCAATAAGGAAGAAACTTAGAGCAGTGTGTTTTAAACTTTTTCTCTCAGGACCCTTCCCACTCTTAAAATTGTGGAGGACCCGAAAAGAGCTTTTATTTATTTAAGCTTATTGATAAACTGGGAACTACTCGTGAACTGGAAAAGAGCTAATGTAGTTCACATCTTCGAAAAAGGTGGGGGGGAAACAGACCCAGGAAACTACAAACCAATCAGTTTAACAATACCTGGGAAGATCCTAGAAAAGATAATCAAAAAACAGATCTGCGAAAAACTAGAAGCAAACAAAGTCATAACCAGAAGCCAACACGGATTTGTTAAAAACAGATCATGCCAAACCAATGTGATTTCATTCTTTGACAAAGTGGCTAAATTAGTAGACCAGTGAAATTGTGTGGACATTGTATATTTAGACTTCGGCAAGGCATTTGACAAAGTAGACCACAATCTACTTGGTAACCTTGAAAAATGTGGGATAGACAATATCACCACCAGATGGATTTGTAACTGGCTGAAAAACCATACTCAACGAGTAGTCCTTAATGGTGCTACATCCACATGGAGAGAAGTAAGCAGTGGGATACCACAAGGCTCCGTCTTAGACCCAGTACTCTTCAATATCTTCAAAAATGAGTTAGATGAGGGAATAGAAGGGGAACTCATCAAATGTGCAGAGAACACTAAACTGTCAGGAATATTTAATACCCTAGAAAATAGGCTCAAGATCCAGTTGGATCTCAACAGACTTGAACACGCAGCCCAACCTAACAAAATTAAATTCAATGTATAAAAAAATAAGATTTTACACTTAGGCAGGAAAAACCAAATGTACGGGTACAGATTAGGTGAAACCTGGCTCAAAAACAGTAACTGTGAGAGAGGCCTTAGAGTCCTAGTGGACGATCACTTAAACATGAGCCAGCAGTCTATGGCAGCAGCAAAAAAACCCAATGCAATCCTAGGTTGCATTAAGAATCAAGGTCACATGAATTAGTACTGCTTTATAAAGCCTTAGTAAAATCACACTTAGAATACTGCATCCAGTTTTGATCACCATATTACAAAAAAGATGTTGAGAGTCTGGAAACAGTGCAGAAAAGAGCAACAAAGATGATTAAGGGCTTGGAGTCTACAGGAATTGGGTATGTCTACTGCAGTGATGGCGAACCTTTTAGAGACCGAGTGCCCAAAAACTGGCCCCGTCCCTGCTCCAGCCCCGTCCCCGCTCCGCCCCCCCATCTCCCACCCCGCCTGCCCGCAGGGCCACTCACTGCCTCCAGGGCCCGCTGCAGATCGCCCAGGCAGCCCAGCAGCGCTATGGCGGTCACGCCCTCTGCCCACGCCCTGCAGCATCAGCTGTGCACAATGGGGTGTGAGGGCAGGGTCTTGTCTACGCTGCCTGGCTGTCATGTCCTTGGCTGCGCTGCTCCGCGTGGGCCACACTCAGGGGCAACTCTCCTTCAGGGGGGCTGCTGGAGAGGAGGGGGTCGCAGGGGGAGGCGAGGCTGGGGCAACGGCACGTGTGCCCACAGAGAGGGCTCCGAGTGCCACCTCTGGCACCTGTGCCATAGGTTCACCACCACTGGTCTAGTGAAAAAGACTAGGAGAGACATGATAGTAATATTCCATATTTGACAGGCTGCCACAAAAGAAGAGCGGATCAACCTATTTTCCAAAGCATTAGAAGACAAGATGAGAAATAATGGATGGAAACTGATCAAGGAGACAAGCAGTCTAGAACTAAGGAGAAATTTCCTAACAGTGTCGCCGTCTCCAGCTGCCTCACTGCCTCCAGTGGCCTCACTGGTTCACTGCCACCATGTTGCCTCCAGTCACCTTACCAGTCCACCATTGCCTCCAACTATCTCATGGGTCCATTGCTCCACCGGTCCACCATGC